TTTGAGTAATTAGCATAATTTGCTCGTTTTATTTTTGATAGTTTTCAAATTTGTTATTTAATCAAAATTTTTTTCGTCTACTTTCTTACGTATTTTAGGCTTAAACATTTGTTTAAAAAAACAAATTAATGCCATATTTTTTACATATTTACAAAAATATTGCAATGCACTTAGTGGTTAATTATTCGTAATTTTTAGTTTGAAAGTTTTCGATATGAAATGAATGTGCACTTATTTCTGCTAAGACTTATAATAAAGTACGAATAATGTGTACCATTAAGTTATCTAGAGCAAAATGAATATCCTGGCATTTTGCAGGATATATACGATCTTCTAATTGCCAGTAGTTTCCTGATAGAATAATTTCTTCTAAAGTTTCTAATTGCTTATCGTTAATCAACTCATCAATGTCATCCTTTCTCTCACATGGAACTATAATAATATCACACTTTTTTTTTTCATAAATAGTTCAAAGTTCACATTGAGTCAGCAATATAAGAAAATTTTTCTTCTTAAAAAAGAAATAATAAATAAAAATTATTTTAAAAATTAATTTTCTACTAACTATTGAAATTAAAGCTTTTAGAAATGTGATAAAGCCAGAAGTTAACTTTACAGCATAGTGCCTTATCCTCGTAAATATAACATTTTTAATGCTTAACGAAAGCATTCACAAGTACAGTCTGTACTAATTAATAATTACAATATTTACAAACTTTTCAATTTATTGACATGTTATTGTAATGCTTTTTTTGTGTTTCTTATTTGAAAATGATATTTTTTAATAAATATTTGTATTGCTATCATTATCATCTACTAACACATATTAATCCTCTTGACCAGCTCTATGTCCATTAGTTGTGGAGTACGCTTGTAATTTTCAGCAATATAGCCTTCTGCGTCCATTATCTGCTGTTTGGCACCATTTTCCAATAAAATTTGAAATGAATTACTGATAGAGTTTGTATCTGCAGCTAACCTAGCAGCATAATGCAAGGCTGTACGACCATCCTGTAAAGTTTTACTTTCCCTATAATGTCTAACAATAATATTCAGTGTAACAGTAAACTGTCCTAATCATTTAAATTTATTTTTTTATTTGAATAACTTTCAGTCAAAATATTCAACAAAAAATGTTAATGACATTAAAATTTTAAAAAATTGCTAAACTTTTTAAAATTAATGAATGTTAGTGGTGTAATGGCTATGTAATTTTTTATTTGCATAAATTTCTTACAGAATCTTTTTCATCTAAAAGTTGAGGTGCAAGTTGTAGTAAAGGCTTCAGTAAATGCTGTTGTTCATGAATAACAGCTAAATGCAATGAATTAGTAAAAGTTGTTGGATGTCGAGATAAACTAATAAGTTCAGAATTTGCAAGCCTTTCAAATCGTTCTACATCACCACAGCATATTGCACAAAGCAACTGATCTGCTTGATTCTGAAATATTGCTATGTTAAGATCAAAATTACAGTATATGTTTATTTTTTTCATTTTCATTTTTAACGACAAAATTGTCATTACACTGATATTTTTCCATTATTTAGAATAATATCTAATACTTTTCATACTATAAAACAAAACAAAAAATACAACTGACT